CGATGAGAGATCTGCTGTTAGCCTGATGGGATGTCCTTTGTAGGTAACTTGATGTTTTTCTCTTGCCAGTCTTAGTATCTTGTCTTTGTCTGTGGTTTTGGTCAACCTGGCTATAATATGTCTTGGAGAAAATCTTGGGTTGATTCTATTTGAGGTCCTTTGTATTTCTTGGAATTGGATCTTCAAATGCCTCTCTAGGTTTGGAAAGTTTTCTCATAGGATTTCATGGAATAGATTATCAATGCCCTTATGGGCCTCTCCACCTTCTGGAATGCCAATTATCCAGATGTTTGGACGTTTGATGGTATCTAGTACTTCTCTATATTATTCTCAAATTTTGGGGCCATTTTCTCAGTCTTTGTGGTGGATTTTTCTAGGCCAGCCATTTTCTCTTCTATGTCTGAAATTCTATTTTCTGAATGATCTGCTTTTAATACTTTCAAGAGAGATTTTGACTTCCTGTATTATAGACTTCTCCTCTAACAGTTCCGTTTGAGTCTTTTGTAAAGTGTGTAATTCCTCTTTTAGATCTTGAAAGAATTTACTCATCTCCTGGAACTCATCAACTTCTTTCTCCTTTCTCTTTAGTAGTTCATTGTCTCTCTTCTCTTCCATCTCTGTTAGCTTCGGCATTATGAATGCTCTAAATTCCTTATCGGACATTTCCATGATTTTCACTGAACTGCTTGTGGATAAAGAAGAGTTATTCTTTTCCCTTGTAGGAGAGGTATTTTATTGCTTTCCCATATTGTGATCCAGTGGTGATTTCTTGTCATCTGATGGATGGTGTGTTTCTTTCAAATTCTTGAAGTTCAGTCTGAATGTTCAGGAGCAAGCAGACAGAGGTGATCTAGAATCTCTTGGCCGTTCTGATGTGATTTCTGGTACAGCAGATTCTAGTTCACAGGAGCCATGAGGAATCTTCTTCTGAAGGCCTGGCCTCTCCTGCCTGGGTGCCATGATTTATTTTTTTTGTGCAAAAATGTGAAATGACTTTCCCGATGACCCAATAATTCATGCTGTTAAGTTGCTGAAGAAGGAAGAAATCCAACGAAATTCCATATTCTAGGCATTTGAAATTTTTTCTCTTTCCGGCAGCCCTCCTTTCTTCCCTTCTTATCTTGCTTGTGGGCAGTGTCATTCTAACTGCACCCTGGCGTACTTGCTTCCCTGGCCCTAGCAAGAAGCTCATGACAAGCACAGAAGGGGACATGTATAGGATTTGAGTTTTTCCTTTTTAAAATTTGTTTTCATCATTATAGTGACTTAGGATTTTTGAGATGGAATGACTTCCTGACTTAATGCATTATGTTATTTAGGGTCCTAATATTTCACCTACCAAATTTTAAGTATCTTTCAAATTAAGGTTTTTGCTATTTGATGAGATACAAAGATAATTGTAAACAAACATATTGTCTTTTGGGTTTTCTCCCCAGTTTCCCCTGTCTTCTAAATGTGATCTAAAAAGATTTGAAGGGCATTACCACCACTAACAACAACAACGCATATACCATCTCCGAGCTTATATAGCTAGAGAACTCCCCTGGAAAACAGTATATAAAGGGTCTTCAAAAAATTAATGGGGAATATGCGTTATATATAAAAAAAATGAACCAACTACCCATAAATTTCAAGATGGTGTAAACCAAAGTAAACTTAAATTTGACTGTTTTCTTCCATGAGCTTTTTGAAGTCTCTCAGTACTATATATGTTTGTTTAAGTGAAGTCACTACTCTGAAACATTTATGGTTTTTCTTTGAGAGATTTTTGCTATAGGGTGCATGTACTCACTGGAGAGACAGAGAAAAATGGAGAGAGAGAAAGTGAGAAGTCACTCCCAGTGGGGGATGGCCACACTTCAGTCTCCTCTCTGTTCTCTCCTCACACTTGTGCCAAGTGTGAGCTTCAAGCTGCCGGGTCTGGGACATAAACTGTAGTTGGTCATGTGGGAATCTAGTGACGTAACCATTATACCATCTGCTGGTCCCTTCCACTAAATCTTTTATTGTCTTTCTTTACTTAGTAGTAAAACTGTGACTAAAAGTTCCTACATCTCACAGGATGTCAAAAGAATAAAATAATACAGAATACATTATAAAGCTAAAATTCTTCAAAAAAGAAATACATTTAATAATGTTATCTGAAAGACTGACTTCACTAGCCAGTTCATGAATGCCACTGATTATTAAAGCATTTGACAGAAATTGTCTATTGCTTTTTTTTAGTGGTGTCATTGGCAGTAAGATATTTAGTCTGACAGTTTTAAGTAAGTAGAATAAGTTATTTTAAAGGTTAAAATAACATTTCTAGACCAGCTGGCTGGATCTCACATGGCTGACTGCTCCACTTCAGTCCTGGACCTGGCGGCTTAAGTAGCACACCATGAACGCATGTGTATCCAGAATTCCAAAGGTGGGAGAGAGAGTGTAACCATTCCCAGAGGGGGTACCTTCTCTCTCTCTCTTCAGCAAGTAAATGCACCTTCTGGCAGAATTTTTAAAAAGTAAATTGGTCTAATATTAGTCATGGCATTTAAGAACCTGTATATTTTAATTTTCAGGTTTTGATTTCAGTTCCTGTTTACAACATTGTAGTAAGAGCATACTAATAAAATTACAGTGCAAGTGAACATCCAGTAAAATATTTTGTAGTCATAATTTCATGATTTCTCTATTCTTTAGCCAGAGTCATACACTTGCTATCAAAAAGTTATGCTGGAAGAATTGCAATGGAGAAACTGAAAAGAATGAAGGAGAAGATGCTGAGTGGTTACACTTTGCAAGTTGTGGTGAAGATCACACTGTGAAGATACACAGGGTTAACAGACGTGCCCTGTGATGAACTCAGTCACCACATGCTTATGATCATTGGTATCTTAAAATACCTATCATGTAAATACATCACCTTTCTTTACCTTCTTAATTGAATCGAGCTTCATTTTTAAGTTGGCAGTTATCTTTTTTTGGGTCCTAAACCTTTTGAAATCTGATGAAAGCTGCACACCATTTTCTTGTTATGTAACATATGCACACACACTTAGAACTCTGTTTATGCTTACAGATTGTTGGAGCTACACTTGCCTCTGTCTTCCAGATTAAGAATCTTGGTTCTTTCTTCCTGACCAGATTTGCCTAATTTTCTGGACCTTTTCATTTTCTCCTCTTTGGTTTATTTCATTATATACTACCCTCTTCAGAGGGTGGTCATAGAAGATAAGAAGAGGGGCTCTCAAGGGTCAGGCAGTGGCCATGGGAAAGGGCCCTGTGGCAACACTTCAAGCCACCTGCCACCGTCACCTGGAAGTTGGTCACATTAACAGGAGGATTCTAACCCAACAGAGCATAAAACTAGAATGCAACTGGCAAGAGCCAAAATGGATTTCCTGGATTATTGCGCTCAGCTAGGTGAGTCCAGGGAATCCAGGACCACAGCTGATGGTTTACAGTCAGAAGGGTTATGGAAGAAGACACCGCTCACTGGATACTGGTTAGGCATAGTCTTGCTCTGAGTAGGATGATGAAAGAGCAGGTCCGTTATGTAGTCTTTGTTAGCCCAGGCTGCTAAATGGTGATGATGGTTTTGTTTTGTCTTAACTAAAACGACCTGATCAACAGTGAGACCTTTCATGTCTCCTAGGAACAATTTTCTAAGGGAACACATAAGCTGTATATATGTGTGAGGCCACATTTCTCATTTCACTGACAGTTAAAAATGACCTTGAGGACTTGCCACATGGTGCAGTGGTCAAGTGTTGTATGTAGGCAGCTGGATTCGACACAGTTGACCATGTTTTAATCCTGGCCCTGGTCTGCTTGAAAAACATGCTGTGTGTGTGTGTGTGTGTGTGTGTGCGCGCGCGCGCTCCAAATCCTGATAGAATGAAGAAATGATGAAGAAGTATTATGGCGTGACCCACCACCCCATGGGAGGTATACGGTATGCCACATCCTCACTCCTGTTCTTTTCTACGCCTGGCAAGTATACACACTCTCTGGTAATTAAAAATAATGACTTTGAAGGCCAGTAGGTAGTGTGCTGGTTATAGTCCTGGACTCCCACATGGCTGACTGTGATTCGAGTCCTGGACCTGGCGACTTAAAAATCATGCTGGGCACATATGCATATATGCCTAAAATCCTAGAGGAGATTGGAGGAGAAGGAACTATGGCATGACCATCCTTCCTAGGGGAGTGATTTCTCACTTTCCTTTCTCTGTCTCTCCAGTGAGAGCATGTGCCCCATGACAAAAACCTTTTAAAAAAAAATGGGAAAAAAATGACTTTGAAACAATAAATGCTGACCTGTAGTCATACCAAAGTGTTGAAGGGAACTTTATTAAAGTCTGCAACTTACTTTGAAATACAGCAGATGGCGTAATGGTTAGGTTGTTGCACTCCCACATAGCCGACCTTGGTTCAAGTCCCAGACCCAGCAGCTTGAGACTCATGCTGGGTGCATGTACCTATATGTTTCCAAAATCCCAAGAGGAGAATGGAGGAGAAGGGATTGTAGAGTGGCCATAACCCCTGGGGGGGTGATTTCTTGCTTTCTGTCCCTTTGTCTCTCTCTTTTCACTGAGTTCATGTGTCCTATACCAAATATCTCTTAAAAATAAGTAAATAAATACATAAAAAGTAAGATTGATGGGGTCTGGATGGTGCAGTGGTAAAATACAGCTCTCTCTGGGCTGACCATATGGAACATTTCAGGGACCTCTTGAGTATTCCAGACACTCAAATTCCCATGGTCCTGGGCTGGCTGAGGCTGGGGGCAGATCATGGAGTCAGGACCCTGCTGGGGGTGCTATCTCTGTCTCTCACGTTTTTTTTTTTTTTTTTTTTTTTAGAGATTTTTCCCTTAAGGGCTCTGGGCGCCGCCC